CCCCCCCTGAGACCCTGCAGACCGGTGCAGGATGTGTGGTAGGCTCTGCCCAACATAGACCCCACCACAGATCCTGTACAGCCCACCGAGACTCTCAGGTGGGCTGTGCAGAATCCATGCTGGGCTCTGCATAACTCAGATTTAAGTGAGTTATTCCTAAGAATTACAGGCCTACAATATAAAACAACAAATTTCCATGCAAAACAATGTACTAATTTGACATTCAAAAATACTGACATAATCAGAACGCCAGGGAGGTTAAAGTGATATTAAAGTCAAAAAGTTTTTAAGCTAATTCAAAGGTTGATTAAGCTGATGTTGCTTCTTTATATGTATATTTTCTGATTAGTTTTTTATTCTTATTTTCATTCCTAGGTACAATGCTGATAACCAGAGTCTTGCAAGCTTCCTGTTTAAGTCCTTGCAGACTTTCTTCGGCATGGCGATATCATTGCAGTCCAGTAAGATGGGGGCACGCATCTACCCGTGGATACAACGCAGTTGTTTTTGATATGGGAGGTGTACTTCTACCTTCACCCTACAAATTAGCTGAAGGTGGGAATAAGAAGTTGCTTAATAAAATTCATCAAATGCTAGAAAGTTCAGTTACCTATTACAAGATCTCATCTTTCAGCTATTTATTTTCTCCAGACTAATAAGCAGTGATTTCTGGTTGCTATGGATCATTGTACTTTGTACACTGACCTTTGGTGTAGTAAATAAAAGCATATGTCTTTTACAGAAAGGATATTTGAGAATGTTTTTTAAAGGACCAGCCCCAGGCAAAACCTTTTCTTTTTGATAGAGTAGGGAAGTGTGGGAACTCTAGTCAGAAATACAGCGTATAGCTATCTGTGACCCCATTAGGAAGCTGGCCCCTCACTTCCTGTCCTGATTAAACCAAGACAAGAAAGGAGGGGAATGGGTGCCACCAGGATAAGAAAAAATAAAGCTGATGGGAGTTCTAATCTTTTTTTGATTTACAAAAAAAAAAGCATTTTTGCTGTGGTCGCTGTCTCCATTTACTTTCTGTCTGTTTGAGACCCTTCCATCCTTCTCCGAAGTGGAGTAACAGACAACAATAAAAATTAACAGAGGGTCTAATTCTCCTTAAGGTTTTGGATAAGGTCGATCAGTTGCATTGATTACATATGTGTAGTCTACAGTAGTACGAAACTACATCAATATACATTCAATTTTTGGATCTCTCTCCCTCGATAATGATACTGATGTATTCAGCATTGTGTTTTTATCTTTTACACAGAGTGGGAAATCCGTAACAATGTTCCTGGGGGCACTATAAAGCAAGCCATTCTAACTGGTGGGGATGGTGGACCTTGGATGAAATACATGAGAGGAGAGTTATCTGCTCAAGGGTTTGTTGAAGAATTTGGACATCTCTGTTCAAATATTGTGAGTTTTACATGCTAAAGACATTTAAAGCAAAGTAGCTACTTCTTGTTAGAAACCAACATACACCGTCAAATAATCTGACCGTTTAACCCTGAACTGCAGCCTTACCTTCACTCTTGGCATAGTTGTACTGGCTCCTTTTCTGTACTGAAATAGCTTTGTCTGATTTCAGGGCACACTGTGAGCTTCTCTCAATGTGCATTAGAAGCTGCAACAAATCAGATATTGACCTGGCTAGAGAACGTCCAGCATTATTCAGCTCATCCCTCCCCAGTATCTTTATTCATTGAATTTCAGTTCTTTCAACCATGCAGCCTCAGTATCATGTGGGTGTTGGATCTGCATGAAAATGCAGCCTGTCTGGGTACATCCACTGACATCCACTCATCAAGGCATTTTGATATTTGCATAACTCTTTCTAAGACATGGCACACTGCTTACATCAGGGCTGAGGACTCTTGAGACGAGTATTGAGGCAGGGGAGCTGTGCTGACATGATTTGCCGGCATTGCACAAAGATGCTCATAGAAAACACTTATTTTCTATGTGCCATTGTGGTGACTGTTGTTAATCCAGTGTCACATGACTTTTACTAGAAGAGCAGCACTGTCTGACATGCAACTGACAGTCTGGTGTCGCCTTTGGTTTATGAGAGGCAAAAAGGTGACACTCAAAGAAGGGACAACTGAGTCTTGATTGTGGAAGATTTGTTGATCACTGATTATGCGTCGATGAGTTGTTTATAAGATGAATAGTTTATATTTGCCAGCTGGTTTTTATTGTGTATAGAGTAATTTAAAAGAGAACTATGGGGTTAGGGTTTTTCCCCATAGTTCTCCTAAGGGTCACGGGAGAACACAAACTAGCGTCCTCCCGTGACCCAAAGCTCAGTATACCGCGAGCTGCAGCTTGCTGTATACTGAGACGCCACAGCCGGGACGGATCCCGGCAATATTATCTGGATACACCCAGCAGCGGGATTGACAGCTGGCGTTGCCTATCCAGAGACAGAGCCAGCTGTGCCCGCCACCTCCCCCGTCCGTTTCGCCAGTCAGCGCCGGAGGATCGGACAGGGGAGGGGGGGAATCCCTGCAGGGAGACGTGAGTGACAGCCACGACTCTGCAGAGATAGATCGAGAAGTGAGCGAGCGACAGTATGTGTTCGCTCACTTCCCGATCTACTGAGTCGACCTGTGACAGTTTCATTGTCACAGGTCGGCTCAGATTATGAGTTAAAATCACTCGCCTCATAATTCTACTTTAAATTCAAGTTTGTGTCATTTATCTTTGCTTGTTTTGTTTGTGTTTTTGAGCTGTGACCTGTTAATGTTGTATTGATCAGCAGGTAATAATTTTACATACAGTATATGTTTTAAAGGAATAGTCCAGCTTTTGCAAAAAAAACTAAAATACAAAACTAATAAATGCACACACATTGTTAAAAGAAAAAACAATCTGCATGTATTACTTTTTGAGTCTGCAAAACATTGCAACTGCGATCAGTGGATCGTGGGTACAGTGCTCTAGCACCTTCAGATTCTTCCACCCAGCCCCTGTCCATACCAAAATACTGACTTTCAGGGATGGGAGGTAGTGTCAATGCACTACAAATGTGTTGATGTCACAGCA